ATATATAAAAGATGAAAATAATTTTTGTGAATTAAACAATCGTTTAACAAGAACTTCCATTTAGTGAGTTGTTTAAAATTATAGTGATATATGAGAACTCACTCAAAGAAACAAAGTGAGTTGCTTGTGTTTAAAATTATAGTGATATATAAGAAGCCACTCAAAGAAACAAAGTGAAATGTTTATTTAAAAAACACAGAATATGCAAGATGGTAAAAAAAATGCATTTAGTAGCTAACAAGATGGTTGCTAGATTCATCTCCGTGCATAAAATAATTTCAGACCAGTAAAAACTGAACAGTTATTATATATATACTATGAGTTTATCTTAAAAATATATTTTCTATTTAATAAAACTAACTGTTTTTTAATCCAAAAAATTACAATGACATTATAATAAAAAATATAAGTCTTTATGCATATATCTCAACATCAAGTCAACCCTAGTTTAAAATTAACTGCTTTTATAAATTTATTTATTGTCATAAGAAATGAATCACATTAATTGTTTTTTTTAAATAATCTTACAAAAATACAAACTTAAAATTTTATACATCATGACTCCTCCTTCATACCAATTGTTAACAAAAATTTATAATGTAACAAATTTGACATTTCATTATATTTATTATAGTTTAATCACACGTAGCAGAAAAAAGCATTTAAAACAATAATCAATTAACTTAAGGTTATCATGCAACAAGTATTTGGTAATTCATGCATATATAGACACATGTATATGGTGGAAAACTTAAAACAATTCCTACTTATAAAATGGAAAACATAAATCCCCTCTTTGGAGTTGCATAGACACATTGTACATATATACAATCTACATAAAATTATATCTTCGTATACAAAATTAAAATTCCTAGCCATTAATTAAGTGTTTATACAATGACATGCTACAGCTATCGCTAGCATGACTCTCCATCAACCAACCTAGCAAACTTGCTAATCTTACCCTATTCCATACCTATTGTAGTTCCAATCACAAGAAAACGAGAGAATAAACTTGTAAAATAATCAATATACACCATCAAAGTAAATTCTCAACATATGCAACTTAAATAACGACCACTAACTCACAATCACAACTTCAACAATCATCAATTATAACATCTACAACTTTCACCATAACACATCTTAACAACTTCAGCATATCAACATTCTCAACATCAACATCAATAAACAAATAATACGTCTTCACGCATATCAACTATAGAGATATCCTATCACATAGGTGACTAGTTTAAATTGCTAGATCCTATTGAACCATAGTATCTAATCTATTACAGCCAAATCAAATATAGAGAATGTTAGGCCTCATAGAGAGTCAGGTACACAACTTAAATTGATTTTTCAAGTTTCACCACTTAAACTAGGAAGTTTAATATTTTTGTCAGGGTAGAACAACTTGGGTCTGAATTAATCGCAACATTAGCTTGCAACACTAACTCTTTTACGGGATTAGCTCATCAATTACCATCCAAATATTACATCCTTCCAATACCCAGTTATGGATTAAGCCCTCGACTTTATACCTTATTTGGTTGGTCATTTCAACTACAATATGGGTTGACCAAACCTCCATATTGTTCCATTAAATCCTATGGGGAACAACTTAAACAACACAACTCTCCTCTAGTCTCCATGTATCTTAACTAAGACATGTATCTTCACTACATGTCTAACAACTTGATTCAATTATAGATATCATATAGCATTGCAACTTAATCATCACTATACATTATATCAACTTAAAGCATAATGAGTTATTAACATACATCATTCATCATATAATTAAATCATCATTCTTCAACTATTAATTGACTTAAAACATAACATTTTCATCAACTAACTTACGCTCGACGCCATTCTTAGTGCATCTAACGCTATTGAGATAGGGGCTTTCTATTTCACTCACGCTCGATATTAACATACCTATTTCAGCGTGATGAAGCATAGAGCCTCTAAGTTCCTCATGCTTGGCATAGTAAAACTCCACGTTCGATCTCAATCAGGTAAAAAGCCTATACTTGACTCATATCCGACATCACTCCTTTAACTCTTAACGTTAATTCAGATAAAGACAATTCTTTCTCCTCACGTCCAACATCGTTCAAACCCACATTCGATATGACCAACTCAAAGGCAATCTCTCCTCACATTTGGTGCCACCAATCTTGCACTTGAATTAATAGAGTCGAGAACCCCTAACTTAAGCCATGTTGGACGCCATGAAGGCTTATCCAATGATGATGAGTTTTGTACTTAATGGAAACTCATTTTGCCCCAACTCCACATGAAACTCATAAAATACCAACACCCAACACAATATACAACATATAAACAACATGTAAAACTTATTTTCATCATCAAAAGCAACATGTATCCATTCTAAATCAAGAATCATCAAATTCTAACTAAAACACTCTCAAGGAACCCAAAACCCAATCAACTCATAATCTCTTCTTCATTCAATCAAAACAACCAACAATAGATGAATTCCAACAACAAACAACCAACACAATCCAACAATGATCAAACACAAAGCTTTCATTGCTGCTAAAGGCTTAGGAATCAAAGGAAGAGAAAGATATTTGAAGTCTCCGAAGTTGTCATACGACTTCTACCAAGCTTAGATTCTCAACTCTCAAAGCTTTGAATCTTCAACTCCGTCACCTTGGTTTAGCTGTAGGGAAGAGTGAAAAGAGTTTTTAGTGGAAAAGGAGAAAAAGGAAGATTTGGGTTCCAAAAGATCTGTCTCTAGTTTATCTCAAGATTTTCTTAAAACATGAACTTATGAGGTTCACATCTTAAGAAAAAATTTATATATTTCATTACTTTGAATCAACTTAACATCTAACTTAGACTACCTCAACC